GGGGGCAGAAATGCCCCTCTCCCCCCCCCCCGCCCCTCCCCCTGAGGCCCTGTCCCTCCCCCGCCTCTTCTCCCCAACACCCCACCTCCCACTCACTCCTCTCCACCCCCTGCCCCCATCCCTTATCAGTTAATGCTCAAGTGCCTGGTGTGGCAGGCAGACAGCAACAGCCGTCAAGTGGGAAACAGGCTGATGTGGGGGTAACACACACAAAGGGGGTCTGGGGCAAAGGCTAACTGAAGTCTCCATAACAAGCATGCATGGTACAGGCCGTCCTTGCTGTAAGTCCAAGACACGGTCCAAAAAACGTGGCCCTCCAGCGAAACAACTGAACACGGGGAATGTTTTTCCTGCGGCTGACTTCCATTGGTACAAATTGCGGGTGTTGTTTTGCATGACTGAAGAGCGGGGAAAGGGAGGACTTACAACGCATCGGTTCCTACAAGCGTCAGCGACTGTAGTGCGGAACGGACGTACACCGGGGCGACGGAGCGGAACGCCTGTGTCTCCAGGAGGCTAAACCCGGGGGGCTCTGGCTTATGCCTAGAAACGCGCCCCGGCGTCCAAGCAGCACGGAGCTGGTTCCTCACCGGGGAAGAAGAAAACATTCGCTCACCTCGGCGGTGCGGGGCTGTTTTGTGCAATCCACAAACCTTTGGTTGAAGCCTGCTCCCTGGTCATCTCTTAATAGCTCGGGCCTGTCTCAGTGGCCACCTGGGGGAGACCTCGACCCTTTAAAGAGCCCAATAAAGTCCTGGGCAAACTTTGGAAAATAGTCAAATGATACCGAGGGGCACGTGGAAACGTTGGAAGGGGGCAGGGCTTGAACTCCCAGCCCTAGGGCACAGCAGAACCCACCCCGCCTCCCTACCGACAGGCTGCCCCTTATCTTGCCTTCCAGCATTTTGCTTCGGCCTTGACAGCACACGGCCCCTGGGAAGGAGGCGCCCCCCACACCTGCTCCAGCTGGCCGGCGTGAGGCCCCTGCAGGCGCGCTGGACACGAGCCAGAGA